CGTGTTTGCTCGCCAGCCAGACAGAGAGAGACATAGAGACAGAAAGCGAGAAATCACCCCCCAGGGGGATGGCCACGCTGCAATCCCTTCTCCATTCTCCTCTCGGGATCCTGGGCACGCATGCACACGCACCCGGCGTGAGTTTTAAGCCAACGGGTCCGGGACGCGAACCCCGGTCGACTACATGGGAGTCCAGTGACATAGCCATTACGCTAACTACTGGTTCCCAAGACCACGTAGGCCTTTGTCATGGAAGTTCTGGCCCAGGAGAGCCCCACTCTCCTTCAAGGTCCTTCCAGACTTGAGCAAGTTTTGCTCTTTTCCTCAAGACCCCGAATGTCATTTCCTTAATGAAGCCTTCCATCTCCCGGGTCTCACGGCACTGTGATCCTGTGGCTGGTGTACATCCTAGCCCCTGTTTTCTTGTCACTACCCCAGCCTGGCCTTCAATTGCCAGTTCAGGTGGCATCATGGTGACTGAACCCCATCCCTCTACCCCCCCACTGTGGCTTGCCCCGTGCATAGGTTGCCCCCATGCCATGGCTGGCTGTTGCCTCGGGGGCCTCTCTGGTTGCCCTAAAGCAGTGGATGGCCCTCTGTTTCTCTGACCCTGGTAGGTCTGTCCTATGACTTAGGGTCATTTGTCAGAGGACCTGTCTGCTTCTCCTATACCTGGCCCAGTTCTGCCTTGAAACCCTTCACTTGAGACCATTCTGTGCGGCTTGAAGCCAGAGAGGGCATCTGAGACACAGAATCCACTTGAAGCTGGACCGTCACTTTCCATGGAAAGGAAAATTGCTAACGTGTAGCGCATATTGTGTGTGCCAGACTCTGTTTGGAGCGTTTATGAATACTGATCTCCAACACAGAACAGCACTCCAAAGTGATCGTTAATCACCTCTTTTCTGTAATTGGGAACAGGCAAACCCCAGAGAGTTTGGTAACCTGTCCAGGCCCCCTGCTGGCAGGAGGTACTTGGCCTGAAAGCCCATCCTTAAAACCATGGGGGGCTGAGGACCCCGAGATGCCAAGAGGAGCATTTCCAGAGAGAACAGAGGTTGTACAGAAGTGAATGAGAGTGGGTGGGGAGGGGCAGCTTCAGGACCCGCCAGGGCTGTGGCCATCCAGTCAGTAGGGAAAAGAACGCTGGCACCACTTCCATGCTGGGATTGGCAGGCAGCTCCTGCCTAGGCCCCTGGGGGCAGCTCCTGAGCATGGGTGTCAGGATCAAAGGCTGGGGGTAGGGGAGAAGCAGGATGGTGCTCAGCAGTGACTTACTAGAGCTGGCTCCGGATGCCCACATGGCTAGTTCCAAGAGTGGCATCATTGAGATCTCCCCCTTTTGTCCCTCAGGAGGCCCTCCCTCATCAGTGCTGGGCCCAAGGGCCAGGCTATCCCCAGGGGCCGGGAGATGAGGGCTCTTCCCGATTCCTGTATTGACCTGGGAGATACAGGGCGGTTAGCGTGCTGCCTGTCCGGAGAGCTGGGCTAGCTGATGCTTAGGCCACAGCGTTGGCCACACTGGGTTCCTGTCTCAGACTAGAAGGTTGAACCCAGCGGCAGCCCTTCTGCCACCCACCGGCCCGGGCCGGCCAGGATTGGATAGCCAAGCGGCTGCAGGTAAAGGACTGGAATTCTGGAGCCGGCGCTGGCGGCAGTGAGGGCGCGGCGCGGAAGGAGGCGCGGCGCTGGAGGGGTTAAAAGCGCAGGGAGGGGGGATTCTGGCGGGAGGAGGGG